GCACTGAACAGCTTGAACCCTCAGCCCTCCCAAACCTCCCAAAACGACCGCCCAGACCGCCCAGACCGCCCGCCCGCCCGGCGCGCCCTCGTGAACCGGCCGCCGCTCGTTCGCAGGTGCGCGTCATCTCGCAGATGAAGCGCGCGGGCCACCTGCCGCTCGTGAAGCCGTACCTGCTTACGACGCAGCCCGCAAACATCAAGGAGGTGAACGACGCGCTCTACGCGCTGTACGTCGAGGACGAGGACCACGAGGCGCTCGCCAAGGGCGTCGTCACCTTCGACAACTTCGACCAGGTCGAGATGGCGCAGATGTGCGAGAAGCACTCGCTGCTGCAGTTCCGCCGCATCGGCGCCATGCTCTACAAGCGCGCGAAGAAGTGGTCCAAGTCGGTGGAGCTGTCCAAGAAGGACAAGGTGTGGGACGAGGCCATCGAGACGACGGCCGAGTCGGGCGACTCGGCCATCGCCGAGGAGCTCATCAACTTCTTCGTGGAGCAGAAGCTCAACACGTGCTTTGCCGCGGCGCTCTACACGTGCTACGCGCAGCTGCGGCCCGACGTCGTGATGGAGCTCGCCTGGCGCAACAACCTGAACGACTTTGCGATGCCCTTCATGGTGCAGACTATGCGCGAGATCACGAATAAGCTCGACACGCTGGTCGAGAAGGAGCGGAAGAAGGAGGAGGCGGCGGCGGAGGAGAAGAAGAAGGCGGAGGAGGCGCTCGCGTCGGGCTACTCGGACTACGGCGCGGGCGACCCCAACGCGATGGTGGTGTACGGCGCGGGCATGGGCGGCGGCATGGGCGGCGGGATGCCGCAGCAAATGGGAGGGTACGGCGGCGGCGGCGGCTACGGGTATTGATGTGCACCGAAGCCCTCCGACCCAGCAGCAGCACCCACTTTGCGGGCCCATAGGCTGTGGCCCGCGGCTCCGAGTGTCGTCGTCGGAACGCGCGAGTCTCGCGCACACTAGTTCAGGGAGTGTCTCTTTTTGATGATGCCTTTATATTGGTGTTTGCGGGATCAAAGGCCCGCCCGGTCCTCGTAGTCGTACGACGTGTTCCTCGTTCCTCGACACCGCGACAGACGACACGCACACGCACACGCACTCGTCACTGCTCACTCCTCGCTGAGCGTCTGAGGCAGACGTCCGGCCTGAAATGACGCGTGTCACGTGTCACGCCACACGCGCCGCTCGTCGTCGTCCGAGCTCGAGGTGCGCCGCGCAATCTAAGATAGGTCATTTCCGAATATACGTGGCTGGGTTCACAGCGATTGTAGGAAAGTGTTGGGACCAACTCACGGTCGCGGCCTTCCGACTCGCGCCTCCGCCTCACTGGCACTATTGTAGCCCTGGCCGGTGCGCGTGCTCAGTTGAAATTCCGGAGTGAAAATTCGAACGCGTTCTCTCACGGTGACCAAAAAATGTCCACCTCAGAGGCACCTCTGGAGGCAGGCCGCCGCACGCCGGCGACACAGCTCCAGCTGTCGAACTGACCCGCAGCTCCTCTCAGAGCGGGAACTGTGACGAACGTTGACTGAGGCGGTTGTCAGGAATCATCATACGGATCACATGGTGGCTCTCTCATGACGGGAGACCGACCGACCACTCCTGGGTGGCACTGCCACCGGTGTCGCTCGACATCCTGTCGACAGCGTGCCGACAGCGACACAGACCATGTGGTACGCGTCGAGTATCGACCTCTACTGCTTACCCAGCCTTCGAGTGTATCCTGGCTGTGGTCCCACACCCACTGGTGTCCATCTCAGAGACCGCAGGAGGTCATGAGGGTCGATGGGAGTGCCAACCCCACAATGCCTAAAAACCCAGCCCAGTACTGTGTGTGTGTATCACGCAAGACGCAACGGAGAGAACGGCCAACGCTACCCTCCCGCGGTCCTCGCGCCCAGCCCGCGCGCGGAGGCGCCAAAGTTGAAGTGCGCCGACACGTCCCTCCACACCCGCACCGTCCGCGCTGCGGCGCAGATCCGCCCGTCCAGCCTCTCGACGTCGGGCGGCTGCCCCAGAGCGGTGCCGTGCCAGACGTAGCCGCAGCAAGGGAGCTGCACCACCGCAATGGCCGGGACGGCCGACCCCCGCTCTCGCTCGCCGCCGAAGCGCAGGCAGCCGAGCGCCTCGTCGGGCGTGACGTGCGCGTGCGGAAGCATCACAACCACCGAGGTGACGCGCGCAGCCACCCAGACAGCAGCCTCCTCGGCTCGGCACGACAGCAGCCGCAGCCGCGCGATCGAGCGGAGCTCCGTCCGCAGCCGCGCCCGCTGCGCGCGCGCTGCGTCGCTCGCCTCCTGGGAGAGCAGGTTGGCGTGCCTCAGCTCCTTGGGCACCGGAAGCGGCTTGGGCGCGCCGCCTCCGCCGCCGCCCCGCCGCGCTTGCGCAACCTTCTCGAGCCGCGCCAGAGGCTCGGCGGCGGGGTCCCCGTCGCTGCACTCTCCGCAGCGGCTGTCGCACTCGCCGCCGCCACTGCTGCCGCCATCGCCGCTGCCGCCCTCCCCCTCTTCTCCGGCGGCCGGCGGCTCGAGGCCAGCTAGCGCCGGGTCGATGGACACGCAGTCCCACCGCGAACGCATCGCCACCAGGGCCGCCGTGCGCGGCGTGCGGCCGTCGCCGACGCAGACGACGAGCGTGTCGCCGCTCGCGGGCGAGAAGGCGTGCTGTGCGCAGTGCTCGAGCACCGCCTGCAGGCACGCGACCGACTCGGAGATCTCCTTCGCGTCGGGGAAGAGGCCGAGCCCGAGGAGGTGGCGGCCGCACTCCCAGCGCAGGAAGCGGTCCACAAAGCGGAGGCTGCACGGGAGGAGCCCGTCCGCGCTCTTTGCGTAGAAGCGACTGCGCAGAGCCGATTGGCCGCCGCGCCGCGGCTTTCCGCTGCCGCTGCCGCCGCCGCCGCCGCCGCCGCTGCCCGTCGCATCGCCACCGCCGCCGCCTCTGGCCGAGAGGGCATGGGCAAGCTGGTGCGAGTAGGAGCAAGCACGCTTGTTGCACTTGCCGAACCGGGCAATGGACGGACACGGCTCGCCTGCTGGGTTACCGCCAGCCATCCTCTCAAGCCCATTCGGACCGCGAGACACTTTCGGTGGCGCGGCAGCCGTCGACCTGCGGCGGTGCTTGGCGCTGCTGGGCGTGCGGCGGCGGAGGCTCAGAACGATGACGACGAGCGACGCGCTTGCTACCAGGACCGCTGCGCGTGAAGGAGACATACACACATGTATATGTGCTAAAAAAAGAAAAAGAGCTAACGCATGGGCGGACGCTAGCGAGTGCGTGACGATATCATTCTCTATGATTAAACTGAAACACTCTCCGACGCGCTCGAGTATAGTCTGCACACACTCACATCCGCGCGCGTTCACGCCACGCGTGTGCGCTCGAGCGGTGCAGGCGCACCCGGTGCTCAGTTTGAGGGCCCTCTACGGTATGCTCTGTGGGAGTCGCGCCGACAACTGCTCCGACTCGTGGCTACGGCAGCACGGCGGCGTTTGAGAGACGCACTGCACGACACGAGTGTTCACTGGCACATCGGCAGGAGACGATCGGAGGGGTCCCGTACCATGCGGAATCGACCCTATCCAGTGCTCAAGTGCTCAAGGACTAACGCTGTCTTTGGTCCGACAGCGGACAGGTTCGGCGCCGGCACCGCCTCGAGATATACAACGCGCCTGCGGGCAGACCCTCGCCTTGGGTCTCACTACACCTTGCGGCGCGGATGGTCTGGGACGAGATCAGGCGGGGGAGGTAGCGAGTCGGCCCATTGCGTAGGTGCATAGACGCTTGCGTGGGTGCGCAACGTCACGTCGGGCGGGTCGAGCGCGGTGCGTGCTGTAAAGGTCGCATGCCCATCAGCTGCCCTCACGATCGAGACGATTCGATTGCGCATCAACCCTAGCAGGCCTCGCTCGGGGTCCACGTTTACGTCATCGGCGAGGCTTTCGTGCATCAGCTTGCTCAGAGGCGCTGCGAACTGCCACACCTCATCGTCGCTGATCGCTGATCGGAACGTGGCCCAGTCGCTCTCGGGCGGCATCCCCGCTGAGTGTAGGCGCCGATTATTCTCCTCTCGCATCTTGCGGTACTCGGGCTCAAGGAAGGTAGGCAAAATCATCGGCTGGTTGAACCAATGCGCCTCTGTGCGCAGGATGGTCTGCGCCTCCATGTTGAGCCGTTCAACCTTGTTCCCATATGCCGCATCGACGTTGTACGCAAAGATAAATGGGCCCGCAAACAGGGGCAGCGAGCTCAGCGGCAACCCCTCCAGCCGGCGGCGATGGATGCACCGGAGACCCGTCGCGACGACTAGGGAGACGTAAAAGGCGAGCGAGAAGTGGAGCTGGTCGCGGAGCACCGCCATGCGCATCGCAATGGCGCCGTCACGCTCCGCCTTGCGCACTCTCAAGTCTGCCAGCTTGCTCCGCTTGATGGCGCCCTCTGCCTCGCCGCGGACGGTGTCCGCGCTCGAGCGCATTTTGGAGGAGATAGATCCCATCTAGAGAGCGTAATCTGAACTTCTCCGGTGCGGCGGCTAGCTGTGTGCTTGGTGGGCGCTCGGAGGCCGGGTCCTGTATGATTGTAGATGAGGATGCGCCCCGCTGATCTCTCCGGCTGGTTGGGACGCGCGAGTTTCAGCGGAAAGTACCCTGCCTGTTACCTTCTCACACCAGGGCCAGAGAAAATCCTCCCCGGTGGAACAGTTGGAGGCAGACTCCCGCGTATACGCCTGGAACTATCTGGGGCCCCACGTCCCACCTCCTAAGACGTGCAAGATGGGGTTTTAGGCTACCTCCCTCGTCTCCGCGCCGCCGGCCGCGAGCTTGCGCTTCTTTGGCGGCAGGGCGAGGCTCTCCGACACGTCAACGCCCGCGTCCTCAGACACACTGAGCCCGATGGCCGACCAGTCCATGTGGCCGCGGCCCCGCGCGGTCGCGCCGAGGAAGCGGTCGCGCAGCAGGGAAGCGACGGGCATCGGCGCCTGCACCTGCGGTCGTGCGTGGGGCGGGCGGGCGTCCTCGCAAGCCGCGGCCTAGGCCGTCTGTGGTGGCGGTGGTGCACCTTTGCCGCCACGTCGAGGGCGAGTGTGACGTCCTTGAGTCCGAGATCGAGCTGGAAGCCCGGCCCGACCAGAGGCTCGCCTGCTCGCAGCGAGAGGGGTGAGGAGACACCGTCCGCGGCTCGAGCTGGGGCCGGGCAGGGCGTGCCGGGGTGGTGGCAGCGCTGCGCGACGCGGTCGCCGTAGCCGCGGTAGATGAGGCAGTCGAAGATAGTGGAGTGTAGCATCGACATGACGGCCTGCGAAGCTCGGTGCGCGGAGGAGTGGCTGAGCGACGCCGGCAGCGCCTGCTACACTCGCTCCCTCGCCCTCGCTCCCGCTCCCGCTCCCGCTCCCGCTCCCGCTCCCGCTCCCGCTCCCGCTCCCTCTCCCTCTCTCTCTACCGCTCTCTCCCGCTCTCTCCCGCTCTCTCCCGCTCTCTCCCGCTCTCTCCCGCTCTCTCGGCCCAACCTGCCATCGACTACTCGCCCACACGCCCGCACCTCGCCCACACCTGGCCCACCCCTCGCCCTTCTCTCGCCTACCCCTCGCCTCCCTCTCCAGGCCCGACTTTTCCGCCAGGGAGAGCGCCTCAGCACATGACTCGATCGCCGAAGCGATCATGAAGTTGCCGGCCAGCTTGACGACATTCCCCGCGCCCGCGTCCTCCCCGAAGCGGAAGACGCCGCCCGCGCCGCAGTTGGCCTCAAGCACCGGGAGCGCGCTCTGCACCGCGCCGTCCTTGCCGCCGACACAGAAGGACGCGAGCCGCCGTGCGACGCCATCGGCTCGTGCAAAGATGGGCGCGCCGACAAACCTCAGCCCGTTTGCTTCGTGCAGCGCCGCAAGCTCCCGGGAGGTGTCCGGGTGCACCGTTGAACACGAGACGTGCACGAGGCTGTTGGCCTGAGCGGCGCTCAGCACACCGGTCGACTCATCGCAGACGACCTGCTTCAGCACCCGGTCGTTTGGCACCATCGTCACCAGCACGGCGTCAGTGTCCCCCCCGGATACCGCGAAAAAAACCGTCCACGCCAGGGATCTACAACTACTCGTACACCCAAACCTTTTCCCTCACAACGCCTTGAGCTGCGCCCTGCTTTTTCTTTTTTTTATTTTTTGCCCTCCGCACAAAATGGCGTCTGAATCGGATCTCTGGTACGAAGCCGACGAGACAGGACCCCTGATCGATTACATCGATCAGCAAGGTGATCTCGTTCAGGTGCCACTCAGGGAGGTCCTGTTCGCCATGCAGACCGCCCACCGGTTTGCGGTGAAGCTGTGCTATTTCAGGGACCCACAACGCGCCGAGCTTGTCGGCCGTGTCCGCATGCAGCTGGGCGAAGCGCTCAAGTCGCCCGAGTTCCGAGCCGCGTGTCCAAATCTGGCGTCGACCGCGGCGATCTACAAGGAGGAGGCCGAGGGCTACGTCGTCATGCTGACGTGGGACAACGCCCTTGGCGGGCACGTTGACCTGCGCCTGCTGGTGGGAGGCGACCGCTCAGCCGCCGGAGCGCGGTCGTACCACGAGTCCAAGGCCGCAGCGACTGCGTGCAACGAGGCTCTTGTCTGGAACCACAGCATCTGGGGCTGCACGGTCATGTCGTTTGCTCCTCTCGAGAGTGCTCAGTCCGTGTCGGCGGCGGTGAAGCACCGCAAAGTGAACCTGCTGACGCGTCAGCGCGTCGACTTGTGGCGCAACCCAGGGGAGGCGCAGATTATCGAGAGCTGCCTGATGAGCGGCTTCACGTCGGGCGTGTGGCAAGACCTCTCGGAGGCGCCCGAGCCATGGGACGATGTCGTTCGGCAGCGGCTGATGGTGCGGCTTCTGCGCGACCCAGATGCGCCGGGGTCGCGTCTCGTCCATGGAGCGCGGGCCGACGGCCGATCGAAGCTCGCTGTCTCCATTCTGGCGACCGTCAAGCCGGTGAAGCGTGAGGCCCTGCTACGCCGGCTGCGAGACGCTGAGGTGGCGCGAAAGGCCGCTCCCGAGGCGGAGTCGCAGTTCGCCGCCGACCTGCGCCAGAGGTTGCTGATGCAGAACAAGTGGCGGCCAGTGCCGCAGCCTGTGGACAAGCTCGTGGCCGGCCCCTCCTCAGACAACGGCGTGGCCGGCCCCCCCTCAGACAAGGGCTCGAGCTCGGGCGAGGACGACGTTGACACCCCCCTCGGCCTTGCGGCGCCCGTGGTCGACGGCGGCGAGAGGTCGTCGCGGATGCAGTCGAGCGCGTCGAAAAAATACTTGTGCACCTCGGGGAGGATGTGCTTGAGGAAGAAGGCGCGAATGCGGTTCATCAAGTTGTTGTAAGCCTAGTGAGAGGGGGGCGCACGATTGAATCGAGCAACAGTGGGGCCCGCACCCGTCAAGCATTTACAGGCGAACACGCAGACAGGCAGCATACGCCCCGCCACCTCACAAATCGCCCTCCCCACCACCGCCGAGTACGAGGACGGATCTAGAGACGCCAAAAAGGCCACATTCGATCCACACGCCGAGCAGACCACCCCTCGTGCGACCCACACTCTCGCCGAGGCCTGGAAGCGCGACCTGACAGAGGAAGGAATCGAGCCCAACCCGGGCCCGAGCAGATTTATCACCAAAAATCTCGGAGGCATCGGAGGGCTACCCAGATGGGAGCAGATACTCCTAGCCATACAAGACGAGCACAAAGCACGGCCAATCACCGCCATATTCCTCCAGGAGACAGGCATCCGAAAAGTCGAAGACTACAAACGCAAGGCGAGCACCTCCGGTTTCGAACTCTTCGCCGTCCCCCTCTACACAATCGGGCCGAACAACAGCCAGCACCAAAGGGGAGGCACAGCCATCCTCATCCCAAAAGACAAAATAGAGTCTCACCCCGGAGAGACATACCACGACACAGTCGACAGAATGAAAAAAAACATGGAGTCTCTGGTTTGGGTCGCAGGCCAAGGGACAGTCGCTGGAGCGGCGCAACGTGGACCTTGTGCGTGCGCTGGGGCTGCGCGCCAAACTGGGGAAGGGGATGCCACGGGTGGCGACGGGGGACTGGGTGTGGGTGAAGCACTATCCCCACGTGTCCGATCGCGGGTCGGGTCGGTTTCGGTGCCAGTTGGGACGTGTCGTCAAGGTGGAGGGGGGGATGGTGCATGTGCGTGCAAAGATGTCTGGGTCATTGTGTGTGCTGAATGTGCCGTGGCAGGGAGTGGTGCACGCGGGTGCGGTTGTGGAGCGGCGGCGGGGGGATACCGAGCGCGAGGCGCTTGTGGGGCGGCGGGTGAGGGTGTACTGGCCGGGGGACGACCGCTTCTATGTGGGTGTGGTGCAGGGCTGGGACGAGGCGACGGGGGCGCACACGGTCGTGTACGAGGACGGCGACATGCAGACCGAGGTGCTGGGAGCGGACGACGCGCCGTATTGGGAGGTGTTGGGTGATTCCGCAGATTGCGAGTGAGAGAGAGGACTCTTTTGTTTAATTCGGCCGAGAGCAGTGCTCTACCATGGGGATGGCGTTGTTCACCCACATGCAATATGCAATGAGGACTACTGCGAGCAACGTAAAAAGAAAAAGCGCGAAGCTCGCTTTTCGTGTCCAATTTGTGACCTCGAGCCCGCTCTGGCAGGCGCCTTCTGCAGGCCCTCATGCCACCTCTGAGCCAGGGTGCCGCATCGAACTCCTCGACGTTCACTGAAGTGGGGGAGCTTGCGGAGGGCGAGACCGTCGTACACGTGTTCGACGACCGCCGGCGCACAGGCGGCCATCGCGACTACTTGTGCCGCGTGGAGGAGGATGAGGAAGCGCGGTGGCTCAAGGCGGCAGATGTCCCTGGGGAGTGCCTGACCGTCTGGGAGGCGGGCGAGGCTGCCAGGATCGACAAGAGAGACTACGACCGCAGCAAGGACTCGCGCAAGCGGAAGCGGGACGCAGAGGCGAAAAGCGAGGTGCAGACCTTCCGTGACACAGAGCAGGGCAAGATCCTGCTCTCACAGGGGATCAATACGCGCTCAGACGCCGCGCCGAACCGCAAATCGGACTGCATCCGGGCGTTGGGACGCATGCGGCAAGAGAACTTCAAGCTGCACACGATCCGTACGAGTGACCCGAAGCGGGCGCGACGCCGCCCGCCCGGCCGCTCGAGCACGCCGCCTGCGCGCCCGCCCGCCGCGGTGCAGCCACGCAGCCAAGCCGCGCCCCCGCGCAGCCAAGCCGCGCCCGCGCCGCGCCCGCGCCGCCCTCGCGCCGCGACGCTGACGCGCCGCGACGCTGACGCCGCCCCTCACGCGCGCCGCCGCCGCCCCGCTCGCTGCGCAGGCTATGGTGGACGCGGTGATGGCCGGCAGGGCGTTCGGCGCCTTGGCCGGCGACTTCGACTACGTCGGGAAGCATGCATTCACGATCCACGGGTTCAAGAAGAATGGCAAAATCCCCCCCGAGCCCACCTTCGGCCGGATTTTCCGCCTCGAGGGCGACCCGCCTGAGCACCGTCCGCGGGAGCAGGACTACTACGTGAGCGAGGTTGAGGAGGTTGTGCCCCTCGGCATGGCCGTCTGCACGCACGAGGCCATCAGCCTCGCCGACGTCCTCGATACGATGGAGCGCCAGGCCATTGAGGCGCGCAACTCGCAACCAGGCCGTCTGCGCCAGCATCAAGGAGGGAAGGGCACCGCCATCAGCAAGCGACCGAAATCTGCCGTGATGCTGCTGGTCTACGGTGCGCGCTACAAGCCCGACGCATATCGTGCTAAAATCGGGCGCCTCGCCGCAAAGAAGTCGGCGACCGCAGGCCCTCGCGCGCACCGCAGCGTAGACCAGCCCAAGCCTGAGGGTGGCTCGTCAGCTGCCGACGCGGTGCGAGGCATGTTTGGTCTGTAGGCCTGGCGGGTGTCGCTCTCTCTGGTGTCCAGTCCTCGCGACAGTCCGAACATAGTTAGAGGCTGTGCAGGCCGTCCCGTGTGCACGTTTGCATAAAAAACGCCCCGCGGCTCTCTCTCTGCGGCGCAGACTGGAGAGTGAGACGCTCTCGCTCTCCGGAGAGAGCGAGTGTGAGAGGTCCCCGCCCCGGCGGCGGCGGCGGCGGCGCGAGGTCTTGTGGACACCCCGGACGCGGGAGAGTCTCGCGCCGGCTGCGCGGTCAAGTAAAAAACAAGAAAACACGAAGGCACACACAAAAACCGCAAAGACGCGCCTCTCGGCGCTCGGGCCCGTCGGCGCGGTACTCGACGAGCCTGCGGGCAAACGCACACGGCCGTGGGTGAGAGGGCGGCTCTCGCTGCGCGCAGCCAGCCCCAGAGAGCTGTGCGAGCCGGAGCGTGACGGGGATGACGGTGACCGAGCGGGACAAGGGTGGCGAATGGGCAGCAGCGGACGCGCCTCGCGGCTCCGCGATGGCAGTGGCCGTACTGTGGGCGGGAGGGCGCCAGTGATGCAACCCCCAGAGAGGCAGGGGCTGCCATCGCCGAAGCTGTGCCTAAGCATAACTCCCAAACCCGCAGCGGCCCGGGGGGCCTTGGGGGCAGCCTGCCGGACCGCTGTTGCACGGGGCTAAGCACCAGAAGATGAATGTAGTTGATGGATGATGGATTGGGCTATCGTCCGTGCCTCCCCTCTTTTTGCGTCAGAGTGGGACCTACACGCCGCGCCGGGTGGGGGGCGCGCCCGGTCCTCGACGGAGCCGCGCGCCCCGAGCGACCCAGGCGGCGAGTAGTCGTCCTCGAACCTCCGGCACGTAGTAGTCCGTGCTTAGCGCCCGCCTCCCTCCGCCCGTCCCTACTCAAACTGTTACTGGGGCGCCTGCGCGTTGTAGCCGAAGATGGCAAAGTTGCGTCTCGTGACGATGGCCGAGTGCTCTTGCAGGAAGCGCTTGCGCTCACCGCTGATCCGCCATCGCTCGCTGTCGGAGGATGCCCGAGCAATCTTAGTGGCGAAGAGTTGGTGGTGAACCACGCCGCCGCCTCGTGCCCGATGCCGCCGCGCGTGCTCGACGCCCAGGCCAATGACGCAGTGCAGAGTGGCAGCATGGCAAGAGAGAGGCGCGCTCGTCGACGCAATTTCGGCCAAATTTTCAAGTTTTAGGTTTGTTAGCAGACTTTTCAAGTGATCTTCCTCTTCATTTATGCAAAGGCATTTATGCTGAATGCAGCGGATATATATCCCCACAAGACTTGTACGCGAAGCTCTACAGCGTAGGACTGACGCGACAACAAACACACACATTGCTAAAAATCTCTCTCTCTCTGACGCGAGGGAGCAGGCGCGAAGGGCGACGGAGGCTGAGGCAAGGCAAGCGGCGAGGAGAACGGCGGAGGCAAGGAGAGCAGCGAAGACGGAGGCGAGGCGGGCGGAGAGGAGGTGGCGGCAAGAGTCAATGGCAAGGGAGGCGGCAGAGAGCGATTCGGCTGCGAGGGAGTTGGCTGCAAAGCAAGAAAAAATCACGCTTTTGTTGGTCGCGCTCTCTCGCCCGGGCACTGCTATTGTGGACGGGGGCTGGTTGCAACCAGCATGCTCTTCTCCGGGCCGTGCTCGCGCGAGAACGAGGACCCGGACCGGGGCCTGCTCGTCCGAGGGCCACTCCCGAGTGGCCACTTCCCAGCCATGTTCGTCTGCCCAGCGTGTGGCGCGAGGCTCACTGCGGTGCTCCCGGACGACACGCCGACGACCGTCCGGTGTGAGTGCAGCAAGGAGTTTGTGGTCAAGCTTCCGCCGGCGCGCAAGACGAAGCGCAGGTACCAGGCGCCGCGGCAGAGCAACCTGAACGACGCCTCATCGTCAGAAGAGACTGACTCGTGCGCGCCGGGCCGCCGCGGCCCTCAGAATGGCCGCATCCCGCCCGTCTCAGTGCAGGTCCCGCGCTCGCAGGCACGCGTCGGTCAAATCGTTCCAGTCGTCGGCCACCTCGCACGCCTCGCACGCGCAGTCCGTCGTCTCTCACGCCTCGTGTGCGTCGGTGATGGTCAGGTGCACCGCGCACACTGCAGGGAAGGGGTGGGGCGGGTGTGTGTGTGTGGCGGGGGGAAGGAGGGGGGAGGGGGGGAGGGGGGGGGCGAGCGGCGCACTCCGGGTCGCACGCGCGCGCCCAGCCCCGCGCGGCAGCGAGGCCGCCTTGCGACGCGTCCCACACACCACCTCTCTCAGCCCTGTCCCCTCCCTCGCCCTAACCCGCTGGCGGCAGCAACTGCTCCTCGGCCTCCTCGGCGGTCAACGTCAACCTCTCAGACATGCGCGACTCCAAGTCGGGCGCGGAGGCACCGCCTCCGCACGCCTCTCCGCCGTTATGCCCTCGTTTTCTCCCCCCCAAGGAGTAC